CCCGCCGGTAACCACTCACTCATCACTGCGCCCGCGCCACGCAGTTTACAGGGTTGCGCCCATGCCCCTGAGCCGCTGGCGCAGCTGGTCTGGTGACCCCGTGAACACGATGCGGCCGTCCTCCATGTAGGAGGCCGCGTCAGCATACTCCAGCTCCTCAAACCTGGTCGTTGTTTTGGAGAGAAAGTGGGGGCAGGGGTCAATGGGGCGGGAGCGGGGGTTGGGATGTGCGATCACATGTGGGGGAGGTGTGGGCGGCTGTGAGGCCTGGGGTGGTTGTGATGCATAGGGCAGGGGCCATGCACCAGGCTGCCGAGTGGTTGACGGTGGTGAGACGCTTTGGGGGTGCTTTGGGCGCACGCAGGTAGCTGCCCCTGCGATTGAGGCTGTCGACACAACGCCTCCCCGCCGCGACACGAGCGCCGGGCAGACCAGGCCCTGGGCCGCGCCCGCCGATGTGAAGCACGCCTGATTCCAGTAGCCCCACCGCCGCGGCTCGCACCTGCCGCAACTGTGTTTCCCCCCGGCCGCGCCACCGGGTCCCGACCAAAAGGACGACACCTCCCGCGAGACCCGGCCACCCCCACCCCCCCGCCGCGCCCCTCATTGCGGCCTCACCTGTGGGTCACCCACACCGCCGTCACCCCGCGGCCGCGCGCGCCCGTCCGGGTGACGTCCCTGACCGCGCGCAGCACCCCAAACTGGTCCTCCACGTCCAGAAAGGTGGTCAGCTCGTCCAGCAGCAGCACGCGCGGCTCCTCGGCCAGGGCGCCTGCGCACACACGTGACGTGCACATGCGTGTGTGTGTGTGTGTGTGTGTGTGTGTGCTCACGAGCGCGCGCGTGGGCGAGAGCCGTGGGGGACGCAGGAAGCGGCGACGCGTGGGCTGGGGTCAAGATTGCGGCGAGGGGCATGAAGGAGAGTTGCAGGGAGGGGGACCGTCCCGCCGCCGCCGCCGAGCTGGGAGTGCCCCGACGGCGGGGTGGGGCGTATGCCAACGCTGGCGCAGCCGCCGCGCCCGGTGGCGCTTGCGGCACGCCCTCCCCCCCCCCCCC